CTCTTTCCCAACCTTCTTTTATTGTTTTTCATGTTCAATTGCAAAAAAGAACCGTCAAAACCTGTAAAAAATTGCTCTTGAATGGGTCATTGCACTGTGGTGCTTTAAAATGGCATCGCAGTTCCATGCTTTTGGTTTGAACACAAGGTTTCCTCAAAGAGTAGAGTTGCGACAAAATTTGTGAATGTTATAATTTTATTTTTATTAAATTTAAAAGCTATATAAAATTTAATATTATTTACAAAATTATAGCATATAATTTTAACATTAGAATATATATATATATAATACATAAAATAAATTAATAATATTTAATTAATAACAATAAAATTATAACATTTCACATAATTTATATATCTTTTATAACATTATCTTATTTATTAAATACTATAATTATGTTAATTTATGTGTAATAATAATTAGTATTAATTTAACATATATATAAATTTAAATATATAAATTATGCAAAAGTATTAATAATGAATTTTATTAAATAGTAAATATTAATTAATTTTAAACTATATAATAATATTTTAAAATTATAATATAAATCAATATATGTTATAATTATGTATATTATGTTATTATTTGAGCTTGATCTGTGAAATTGAAGGCTCTGTGTTGGCACTTAATCAGTAGACACTACATAATAACACAAAAATCTCTTCACGGGTTCTTTGTCGGTGAAATTGTAATAAAAGCTTTTTAGCCCCACTTATTTGGGTTTATTTGTGCTATTTGTTAATTTTTACTGCTGAGACCTCCCTTTTTCAGTCAGGCATTTAAAAGATTTGAGCTTTCGGCGCAGACATCTGTCTCATCATGGACAAACAAACATTCTAAATGGCCTATAGCTCCACTCCCTTATGATTTACTGAAATTTCTGCTGAAATCACATGTGATTTTGTACTTCCGAAGTAGAGGATCATCATCATGTGAAGCCCTAGTGGTGATTAGGAGTTAAACTATTGCATTTTGTTCTTGATTTAGGCAAAGGATTCTCTGTTGCACCTTTAATGATATGATGCTTAATTCTAAAGTTTTGTCGAAGCCTTCATTCTGGACTGCTTGCATATCTCGTTCATCAATGGCTGTGCCTCTATTGCCATCCACCTCGTTGACGTCAATCGTTGAAGGCCATATTGGTCCTATGCAAAATCTAACTAGTGTTGGTAGTATTCAAAATTTCAGTTCAAGTTGTTACAGTCCATGGGATGACTTGAGCAGTTCAGCCTGTAGTTTCATCGAGGGCAATGATGGAAAATCCTCCAATAGTTGCAAGTAAGTACTATTTTTTTTTTTCTGAAGTTCTTCAGTATTTTCTTCTTTTTTATTTTTAATTAGGCTTTTCTTGCTAAATTTTCTATTTTAATAATTGTTTGCCTTGCTTCAAATGCCTTGTTATTTAACTTGTTTTCACGTTGTGATTTTTTATTTGATTTTCCTTTTCCAACCTTTTTTCTTTGATTGAGTCTTGATAGTTTTTGTATTCAGATTTCTGCTGTAAGGGATATACCATCTTCATTTGTACTTGTTTAATTGCTGTTTTTATCCTTAATGTAAACAGTTTTGGTTATGTATCTTGCTCATTATCTTAGCTTTGACTGCGTTCCAATCATGCGCTGTTCCAATATCTTCTTTAAATTATGTCTTTTTCACTAGGCTTTCTCTATATATTTGAAGCAAATCTTTATTTATGCCTTTTTTTCCCTTACGGATTGATGCTGAAGTTCAGCTTTAAAGTTCATGGTGCCATTTGGTTCTTCTTTATGCATAATTTATTTTATTTTGTTTTTTTTGGATTGTTATGATCCTAGAGTTCTTGCATCAAATCCCTGTTGCCTATTCAATGTCAGATCTAAGTTATGCATTTTTTTTTCTTAGAATAGACAGACATGACGCTGAAGTTCTGATGTGAAATCCAGGTTAACTATCCTCATGACTATTCTTTGACACATGGTTATTTTGCATTTTGATTATTTTTTTTCTTTATGAATTATTTTTAATGCATAAAAAATGATACTTAGATTCTGGCAGGAAGTCTTGGTTAGCCTTTCTGTAGGGCTGTAAATGAACTAATAATAAATAGTGAAAACAATGGTAAAATATTAGAGGGCTTAATTCTTATTGATGCAAAGAGGGATATAAATACCCATTACAGGACTTACAGGTAAGGAAAACAATAAAAACAAAATACAGTAGGCAAGGAAAGAAATAATATTAAATATAAGAAGCAGGAGAATATAATCATCATTGAGATCTTTCAACAAATAGGCTGTTTATTAATAAGCTTTGGTTCATTTGCAGCTCTGCTTTTCAATGTCAAATCCAATTTATGCAATTTTTTTACTTTAGATGGCACAAAACTGAAGTTGTCTTACGAAATCGATGTTATCAGTCTTCATGATTGATCTTTAATCTTTGATAGTGTTCACTTTTCTTTCATACAGACAAGATTTGAATGTCTTGTTTATGCAAGTTCCAATATGAAATATAGCACCCTTTTCTTCATGGAGTTCAAATTGCTCTTTTTGATTTCATTTCATATGCAAAAAAATATCAAATTGGAGAGCTGATGTTGGACGCCATAATGACTAAGATATTTTAATGCAAATTTAATGAGATATTCGGAGTAATGCAACACTCACTCAAACCTTTGTAAGCCAAATGCTCTTAATTTTATAAACTATGAAACCTTTTTTTTTAATTTTTATTTATTTTTATTTTTTATTTTTTTTTGAAAATCATCATTTCATGTGATTATTCAATAGTCTTCCATAAGAAACAATGCTTAGAAATTTAACTATAATGAGTTGAAATCCATACAATCGCTGACATTCAGACTAATTTGACTTGAGTACATTCATTCATATAAAATTAAATAACAAAAACTAGAGTGAATAAAAATAGAAGGAAAAAAATTTCCAATGTAGTAGAGTTAAGTGTCACATTTGTAGAAGATGTTAATTTTTCCAAAAAATTATCATTTGTCCCAATTGATCGAGATTATACTCTTCGAAATAAAAAAAATAAATGATCCGATAAAAACTTTATTCAGATCAAAATAAATTGAGTTAGTCCATGTCTATGACTCGTATTTAAAACTACAAAATTTTTCTTAGGGTTTATAGAAATTTGAAGAAAAGTTGGCCATCAATAATTGAAAATGGTTGCAACAAAAATACTCCAGCCTTAAATATCCTAGAACCCCAACAGAGCTGGAAATGCAATATCCAATTTATAAGGCATAAGTGCAAACTATCCCAAATGCGTTATACTTGAAAATATTATTTTATTGAAAAATATAGAAAGATATTTCATTGCATTCTATTTTTGAAAATAATTATTTTGATATATAGAATTATACGTTAATTCTTAAAGAAGAGAGAGTTATTGAATTAATTTTGATTTTAATAAAATTTTCCGAAGTTGTATTTAGATAATACTGTTCATCCATTATTAACAAGGGGTGGATTTCTGGCAATTCTATTTGTGATTACATGCAACGGTAGATCTGTACATGAACGGCTTTGATGGAAAAATACAAAAAAATTGAATGTAACATAATAATTTATATATGCCTGTATAAATGCCACTAGTTAATCAATAAAACTCCTAGCATTTAGCCATTTTACCATTCCACGAACAGTAGGGAAGCGAAACAGAGAGTTGGCTGTTGGGAGAATTAGAAGCGGAAATAAGAGATGAAGGCGAAGAGATGAAGGAGAAGGGAAAGGGAGAAAAAATGAGAGGAAGAAGAGAGGGAACAGAAAGAGCCAGATATAAGAAATTTTGTTTTGATTTAAAGTTGAGGTTTTGTTGTTTTGTTAATGAATCAATTATCATTACTTGAAATATTCTGGCCAGGACAAATATATGCCATTAAAGCACTTTTATAGCTGGTCATGCAAATGGCCATTTCAAAATTCCAATTTGTAGGTGACCATTCTTTGTAAGGCTAATAAAGGAAAGGAAATACTACATATCTCCCTATGTTTGTCTTTTGAATTATTTGGAGTATTTCAAATAAAGGAGGGATTGACCAAGCTCTTCTTGAAAAGAAAATCAATGCAATTAATAACACGGGATGAATTTCAAAGTTAAATCTTTTGAGGCAATACTCATATGGAAAGTTAAATTTCGGCTAAGCATGAAGTGATCCTGAATTTCTTACTAGCTCCTTAAATTGGCAAGTGAACATTTGACCAAAGCGTAAAGCAGAGTTGATGGGTTCGGTCAAACAAAAAACTAGCAAGAATTTTGTTTCAATTTAAAATTTAAATAATTTATTTCATGCAATTTTATCTTTGGGTCAAATTTTCCTCTCTTTTCTGTGCTCATGTAATGTTATAAATACAGTGTCTTCATGTAGGAGAGATAGATTGATGATGAATTAAATTAATTGAATTTGGGTTCGCCTTTGCATGGTACACCTATGGGTATGGCTTGGTGTTTCTCCTTTGGAGAAATTAGTGGGTTTTCTGTAAAATAATCTTTGAAACCATTTCCACACGTGGACAATCATAGTGACATCCCTCCACCTCACCACATCACTCTCCTCCAAATTTTATATCAAAGCAAAAAAGATCTTCTTGCATGCATGTCATATTGAGTCTGCTGATTCTTTCATCTTGTTGTATAGCTTTTGTGAGTTTGTCTAAAATTGTATTGTGGTGTTCTCTTTTCTTCTTTCTAATATCGGAGTTAACCCAAACAACAATAGAAAATCATTTATTATTGAAAGCAAATATGAGGTTACAATAAAATGTACTTGAAGGGGAAACCACAACACACACTACATGTAAATGTACGTTAGGGTGGATTCCAGTTGATGACAATGACAGGTAGGGGGCTTGGAGAGATGGTGGCGAGGTAGAGAAGGGGTTTTCGGGTTGTGGAAGAGGGTTGACAACGTTTATGGGCTGCTGGAGCAACAAGACAGTAAGGGACGACAGTCCAAACATAAGCAATATGCTCTTTGGGGCTGTTGGATAGTAGGAAAATAGCAAAGGGAAGGCGTTGCATGCTGCGGCGGCGACGGTGGAGGGCTGGGACAACGTGGAAACCCTCCTTCTCTACCTTGTTGATTGGAGGGCTAGAACAGCGATGGTAGGGGGGTATGGGGTGGTTGGAATGTTGAGGGTTTGCTGAAATAGCAAGAGGGAGGGCTGGCGGCTGATTCAGAAGGAGGACAACAATGGTTGTGAAAGGGAGGTGGCTGGAAAGAGGAGAAATACAAGAAAGAACAACGACGGGAGGAAAGAAATTGGTAGCAAAGCGAGTGCGGGGAAGGAAAAGTCGAAGATAAATGCTCAAGTGGGAACGAGCTACAGCCGGGGCACCACTCGACCCTTGGGGTCACCACTTGGATGCATTACAGTTGGAGCACCGTCTTATCTTTGGATACAACCCTAGATGGGGAACATCAGATGTTGATGGCTGTCTTGGCAAAAATATGAGCCAAAAACAGACCTAAAACAAGACAAATAACACACACACAGATATATATAT